AGCCACAGAGAACGCTCTCTGCTTAAAAGACCCGCCCACCTCACTGGACAGTTAAAAAGACCAATCAAACTAAAGATGACGTCAAGTATTAACCAATCAAAAGTAAAAAAAAATGAGGCAAAAATGCGCGTGGGATGACTTGCAGGAGACTTGCTACTTTTAAAAACTGATTAAAAATACGGGACAAAACCCGTCCCATACGGGACGCGCAAATTCATTCTCAAATTCGGACAATTCCGTATTTTAAGGGACGGGTGGCAACCCTAGTAGGATCAGTCATTAGTTATGCAAATATTATCTGCATTCTCTAAAATATTAGCAACTGTACATAGTTATACATAATTATATACAGGCTCCTGTTTTAAAGAAATGTATGTCAGAGGACGGACAGGAGGGTTCTATTCTGTAGAAGTAGAGGCAAAACATATAGCTTGGGTGTTGCACTGCTGGCAACAGTAACATTCAGATTAAAGTCTATATGGAGCACTCAAGGGCAACACGGTAAGGCAGTGGGTAGCAAAGGTCGCTAGTTTGAGCCCCAGCTGGGTCAGTTGGCATTTCTGTGTGAAGTTTGCATGTTCTTCTTGTGTATGGGTTTCCCTCACAGTCCAAAAACATGTGCTATAGGTAGGCCCACACGGAATCTGCACGCACAGAATTTCCGCAGATTTACTGCAGAATTCCGCATATTTCTGCAGATTTTTAGCCCATTATTAATTCTGTTTTTTAACTTGAGTAAATGTGTAAATCTAAATTTATTTAGTTTTTATTCAGTAATTTATTACTTTTTGTTTCATATATTAAGGGTTTAGTTATGAAACTCCGCTGGATACTCTAAAAATAATTCCGCTGAAATCCGCAGATTTTTACCAAAATTCTCCGCAGAAATAGCAAAAAACGTCCGCAGATTCCATCTGGCCCCGGCTATAGGTAAACTGAATAAACTACATTTGCAGTACACTGAAAAAAAAAATATTCAAAGATGATTCCTTGGATTTACGCTATTTTTTATGTTAAGTGGTTGTAAACAATTTATTTGGGCTGAATTTAAACAAACAAATTAAATTGAACATTATTGAATTTAAGTTGTTTGTTTAAATTGTCCATAGTGTATGAGTGTGTGTGTGGATGTTTCCCAGAGATGGGTTGTAGGATGAAAGGGCATCCCCTGTGTAAAACATATGCTGGATAAGTTGGTGGTTCATTCCGCTGTGGCAACCCCTGATAAATAAAGGGACTAAGCCGAAAAGAAAATGAATGAATGGAACGCTCAACAATGTTTTTTTTTTTTTTGCTGGGTTTTCAAACTACTTATTTAAAATGAGCTGAATCAACATGATTCTTGAGGTTTGTTTTAGGACAACCGAATTGTTTTATGTTCAATCCACTTAAATTTGCAAAGACAGTTAGCTTAATCGATTTGTGTTGACTCAACAAGGAGGAATTGTGTGGAATCCAACATTTTCTCAGTGAGTCAGTGTAAATTTAAGAAATGTCTACTTGTCTGGGCGAAGACAAACTTTGTTTCACTATTTAAAAGCAACTTACAATCTGTGTGTTTTTACTATCATTAATACATTTCGTAAATGTTCATATTACAGTGTGAATTAGCTCTAATGTCATTAAATCTAAACCATCCACTAACATCATGTTGAACACAAATAAATTGAATATTTATGTTACAATCGGGTGCGGTTACCTATATCAGAGCAATTGATAGGTGTGGGTTGATGATATGAGGCAACCTATTCTGACTACATTTGAGCAGATCTGCGCATCCCTAATGTTTCTCATCCAACTTATCCAGCATATGTTTTATGCAGCTGCAATCCAGCTCTGGGAAACACTCATACACTACGGACAAATTTAACTTATTCTGCTTATATTATTTTAGCATGACTTTGGACTGTGAGGGAAACCGGAGCACCCAGAGGAAACCCACATGAACACAGGGAGAACATTCAAACTCCACACAGAAATGCCAACTAACCCAGCCGGGGCTCGAACCAGCGACCTTCTTGCTTACAGATATAGATAACCGCACCCGATTGTAACATATTTATTTGTGTTGAACATGATGTTAGTGGATGGTTTAGATTTGATTGTGCTACCCATTGTGCCACCCTGTGATTTTTCTATTGATTTGTTTCTTTGATGTTAATAGGAAAAAATTTAAGTAGTGTAGTCATCTATTTTTGTATGCTATTGTTGTTATGCAATAAACAAAACAGTCTGAATCATATTTAAATGCCATTAATTGAATTGTCTCTGGGTTTCTAAAGAATCGATTTCTCTCATCACTACTCATTAGTGACTAAATTAATATTTACTAACAATAGGGTATATGCGGAAGTATGCTCAAGGGCTTTTAATTTGTCAGTAACATGGGTTAACTGCTTCCGGTGAACTGTATGCTAATGCAAAATCGGCGCGTATAAGGTCTGTTTTCTTTAAAAATGACTGATATCCAATTAAAGTGGGTCTCAGATTGTACAAAAAGCACTGCATTAAACTACGTTTCCCCCGCCATGTCTTTATAATATAAGCATTTTTTTTTTACCCCAGTATATTCAATGAAGCTTCTGCGCTAGCCTGCCCATTCTGACATTCTTTTCATCTTGTTTTACGCTTTAGCAACTAAATGAATGCCAAAGTCTGTTTAACTGATTGTATTTTAATTATATCACAACATCGATGCTGTAAAAGGAACCGTATAAAATGAAAAAAGTCACATTAACCGTTCACCGGAAGCAGGGCCGGCGCTTCCATAGAGGCGACCTAGGCGGCCGCCTAGGGCGGCAGAATAGAGAGGGCGGCGTTCCCGAAACTACCCTCGCCACCCGCGCCCACAATTATATCCGCGTCTAGAGCAGCAGAATAGAGAGGGTGGCGTCCCCTAAACTACCCTCGCCACCCGTGCCTCAGTTATATCCGCGTCTAGGGGTTTCACTTTAGATTTGAGGTCGGCGTGACCGTCCTTTGCCTAGAGCGGCAGTTCAGCTTGCTCCGGCCCTGACCGGAAGTTTATCACTATGGGAACAACACTAGCTCCGCATACCCTACACGAGAGGCACAATACCACTCGCTTCTACTATTACTATTATGCAGGTGTACTTACAAAAATTACACCAATAAGTAATAAGTAACTCGATTTGTATAGCTTGTAAAGATGAAAATAAAGCATTTAGATGAATAGTATCAATATAAACAGGAGCATAAAAGAACACAACCCTTTCTTCAGTTAAATCACATACTATTAAATGTATTAAATTCAATTCTAAAATGTCCAGCCAGTGGCAGATGATGGTCTGATCCAAATAGACCTTTCTTGGATGCTGCATGGATGCCCCCATAACGACCAGAGTCTTCCGGTAAAATGTTAGAACTTCCGTTTACAGCGTTTACAACTAATTTGCCATCCGAAAATGGATTTCAATAGCGTTTTGAGTGGATTACGGAGTGTTTTTGTCACACATAATCTGTCAAATTTGGTTCAAGCGTGAGAGAAAAACGTTCTCCTAGTTCACGTGTCTGCCATCTGAAATACAGTGTATGTGTGTCATAGACTGTAAAATATATGGACGTAGTATCCGTGACGTCACCCATAGGTTTCTAAAGAGCGCAAAAGAAGCCACAAGTAGGCGCGGCCAACCGTCGCCATTTTGTTTGTGCGTCATCACACCCACGGCGGGATACCAAACAAGGGCAAAGAGGCAGAGAGTGAGCGGAGCTACACACACCTGCTGGCATTTAGCTTGGACCTGGTTCAGACACACGTATACTGTGGGAGAATGCTTAATACTTTATCACCTGTGACTCGTTTGTATTCTGACCACTTGTGCTTGGTTGTACACTATATCAATAAAGTGTTTAGACTTTTAAAAACACTGCTGTAATACACAGAGCCACTAAACATTGTTCTTATGACGTTTTTAAACAGGAGGAAAACGCGAATTACTTCCAAACACTTCAGATATAGTCTGTGTTAGTTACTGTAAGACTATTGATGAAATCCAGCATAACACTGTATGACAACGCTTCAGATGACTGTTCTAGAGCTTACAGCTAATCAATCTGTCAGATTCTGGAGTGCATTACAGCTCTAAATATAAATGATCTTAAATAAAACAAATACATGTATAGAGATGGTATATAAGTATATAACTTTAGTCACATGGAAAACGGAGGCCACGTGAATCATTTGTGAGCACAATTAAGTGCCCTCAGCATGACATTCCATCAAATAATTGTAGGAAACAAGTCCAAAAGGCAGTTGACTGTGTAAAGCCACATAAAACAACACAGAAATACGATAAATATGCCGAGTTCAGTGACTAATCTGCAGGATTCAGCTGAGGTGACGTGACGGCGACCAACGAGACCTGGCTGTCACTCAAGTGGCCACGCCCTTAATTATGCAAACTTAATATAAAGGAAACGGATGAGTTATAAAAAAAAATGCACCCCCCTCACAGTTGTCATGAAGGGTAATATTAGCTGTATTAACCAAAATCTTTTTTTGTACCAGGCTGTAAACACCTTTTTTTCTGCTGTAAAGTTGGCCATTCTAACAGTGGGCTCAATTAAAATTTGCTCTATTATGGAGCCAGGAGCGGCCAGGACTAGCGGAATTTCGGATGAATTGCAGTTTTAGTTACTTCCGTATTGGCTTCCTGAGGGAGAGCGGGAGGTTGCCGCTTGGTATGTGTGTGTGTGTTTGTGTGTGTGTGTGTGTTCCCGACCTGTCAGCTGTTAGCTCAGCGGCTCTTCAATGCACACAATACTTTACTGACTCGCAGCTTTCTTATCTCAGTCCTCAACTTCTGTTCTCTGTCAGTTAATTAGTCAGATCACCTGCAGTAGCTTTAAATACATTTGATTTTATTATTATAACACGTGATGAGTATTATTTAAAACAGACCCGATTATAAATATTTAAAAATGCGCATAAATCTTTATGCGCGCGACCAGGACTTTTATTTTGGTCAGGCGTTATGATGCCATAAATCTGCGTCGCGCATGTTTGTTATGATTCGACTGGTGAGTGCTTCTGTTAATGCGGTTTACTTTTAAAGAGTGTTGTTTTATTTACATATTAATTACAAATGAATTATGATTTCCTGTGATAATGTAAAGCTTTGTTTACTGGTAAAGTGCTTACCGGAAAAGTGTATTGTATAATCTCAGTCAGTTTATTCCTGGTTACACACGTTTTGTCCCTGGCAAGTAGTGATGAGAGAAAACGAGCGTTTAGAAACTTAATTGAATCGGATTGGAGCTTTCATAAGTGCATCAGATCAGTGCATCAGATTTTATTTCAATGTTAAATGCTTCCGTGAAACTCGTGTAACATGTACTGATTAGTTTAACCCCTTTAAGGGGTAGTTCACCTAAAAATGAAGATACTGTTATTAATTAGTCTTCCTTGTGTCATTATAAACCCCTGAGTTTTTCCATTCATGTCAAAACACCAAGATATTTTAGATGAAATCTCAGAGCTCTCGCTCATCCTCCGTACATAGCAGAGACATTCAAAGTAAAAAAAAAGCGACCAAAAACATTGGTTTTACCACAATCATTTTTGTGGATTTTTTTTCCATAATATTTTTATTTTTCCTTTTCAGTTTGTACACATTGAAATACAACATTTTACAACAATAATAACCTCGTTGCGTTTACAAATTATACAAAATATGAGGATATATATATATATATAAAATCAAACAACAAAAAATAAATAATAAAAATAGAGCTCGTCTTTTTGTCATTAATGGTAATCTATCCAAACATGACAATTATAATCATACTGAGTTCTAGGTACAGCAAACATATATTAAAGAATGTATCAATACAAAACTATAAAGCTGGAACTGCATTGTCCATCAAAAATTATTCATCAACTTCATTTTCAATGGATTTAACTGCTGTACGGCAGTTTAATTGTAATTCCATCTCGTTTTATGGATGGATAACTACATTAACGCATATTTCAGTTTCACTAATTATATTGATTATTAACCAAGTATCAAACTATCAGTGCTGTTGAAGGTTTCTCGTGAAATTGAAGATAAATGTTAACATTATCAACAGCAAGAGAGTGTTAATAAGAAAACCCTTATTGTGTAAAATATCTGTTAAATTTTCGAAAAAAATACCAGCAGCTGTGGTTGCCAGAATCTTTCTGTGAAAAATATAGAAGTTTTATAGAACTGTATAAATGTACGAAAAATAGCCATATCTCATGAACTAATACAATGTTCAGTTTACAAAATCATAGCTTAGAGCAAAAAAATGTAAAGTCTTTAGATGCAATAATGTTTTCATGTGTGATTGCAATTAGCAAACAAATTTTCACTGCATTAGTAACTACACAGTTACCTTTAAACAAAAGAAGATGCAGCATAACATCAAATATTCTCAGTTCATCTTGGACTTGAACACAGACGCTACTATCCTCCACAATGGTGACACAATACCGTTTTGCTGTGTGTTTTTTTATTTTTTGATTTTATGGAAAAATACCAGCAGCTGTGGTTGCCAGTAATCTGCTGTTTTCAACATTTTACATTCCTAAATTCAGTTTACAAAATATTTCTGTTAAAAACACATCCCACAGTGTGTATTTTTCATCGAACACATAGTGACACAACAAACATTGTAGGATAGAAAAGAACCACATTGAATGTAAATATGAAACTCAGTATTTTATGTCACAATTACAGTGTTGTTGTAAGTAATCCTGTATACCACAGTCGTTTGATTTATAAGCAACAATTAAATCAGCTGTATGTGTTTTTTAGTTACACATGTACATGTGTGTATTGTGCACGATCATTAAACAGTGCACACATCGAAAATATCTAAAGAGAAAAAGTCTTTCACTCCATGTAAAAAAAATCCTAGACTTTTTCTTTTGTTTAAACTAAACTTGTTTTACTGAATGTTAAACAAGGAGATGAAAGCGAATAGACCAGGGGTGTCAAACTAATTTTAGCTCAGGGGCCGCATGGAGGAAAATCTAATCCTAAGTGGGCCGGACCATTATTTATTATAAATATATGTACAAATGTGATATATTTATATATATATATATATATATATATATATATATATATATATATATATATATATATATATATATATATA